GAAAAAACAGACTGTTGCCGGAATGGCTAGATTTTACGTCGGACGATGCCAAGACTGTGTTCTTGGCTATTACTGTGTCGCTTGCGTTTCGATATTTTATTGCGGAACCAAGATACATTCCTTCCTTGTCTATGTATCCTACTTTTGATGTCGGAGACAGATTGGTTGCAGAGAAGGTGCTGCTTTCTATCTGAATTTTAGATTACCTTCTTGGTATTAAGTAAGGAATTAAGAACCTGTAGAATGCTGTTTTAAGGTTTTTGTGTTTTGATTACAATGTTCAAGCTTTTGCATCTTAAGAGTTTTGAGGTTTAGGATGAGGTAAAGAGATTCATTGATGGGTTTTGGTGATTGTTACATTGATGTGAGGATACTTTTCAGGTGAGTTATTATTTCAGGAAGCCTTGTGCAAACGATATTGTAATCTTTAAAAGTCCACCAGTTCTTCAGGAAGTTGGCTACACTGATGCGGATGTATTCATTAAACGGATTGTTGCAAAAGAAGGTGACCTTGTGGAGGTACTATGATCTTATTCTGACTTTTTAGCATGCATTAATAGTGAAGCTGATGGTTATTGATTTGGGGAACTGTGCAGGTCCATAATGGGAAACTGATGGTTAACGGTGTTGCTCGAAATGAAAAATTTATCTTCGAGCCTCCTGGTTATGAAATGACACCAGTTGTAAGTAACATCCTCGGTCTTTCAATAAAATGCTCAAACCTAAACCTTCTGGTTTTCTTGTTTTCTAATTTTGGTTACTTCAACATCGTAGCGGGTACCGGAAAATTCAGTCTTTGTGATGGGTGACAACCGGAATAACAGTTATGATTCGCACGTGTGGTAAGTTGTCTATTCTTCATATGTTTCTAGATATCTCTACCTTGAAATTTAGTTCCTTCTTGGATCGTTCCTTATTCTGGAAAACTTGTGCTGTCTTCAGGGGTCCTCTGCCTTTAAAGAATATAATCGGGCGGTCAGTTTTTCGGTATTGGCCACCAAACAGAGTAAGCGGGACAGTGCTCGAAGGTGGCTGTGCTGTGGATAAGCAATAGAGCATTGCAACGTTTTGATTCGACATCTCTTCTTATGAAAGACTTGTGCACATAGAAACAAAATTCATGTACCTTTCTATGAAGAAATGATTGCACATTTTAATTATATTGCAGATAGAGAAAAAAAAAATTTCTTATTTGCATGGTGGAGAAAAAAAAAGGGGTGTTTACATGGTACTGAGTTTACAGGTCTTATGAGTGAATTTTATGGGTTTGGAGGTCTTGGAGGAGGAGATGAAAAAGTTGCAGGTAACATGATTCAAGTGCTTCGACTTGACCAGCTTCCCCAAAAGATTCCCTTGCGATCTGATCTCAAACTCCAACTTCACCGGAATCTTCCCTTTCTTGTCGGAGGCAGCTAAGAGTGGTCCTGCTCCATACAGAGGAACCTCGGAGCCATGGACCTTCACAATGGCTATGTGTTTGCTCTTTCTTGGTTGGTAATAACTCGTAAGCTTCACAACCAAAATGGGAATATCAGACTACGATGATGATAATATAAGCGCAATGAGTGAAAATCTGAAACAAAGAGTACATACCTGACCAGTGGCGAGGGTGAGAGCAGAGTAGGTGAGATTGAAAGTAGAAGAAGAGACATGGATGCCAAAGTAGGGAGCAGGACTGTCTATTGTCACTTTCACTGAGCTCTTAATGCTCAGAATCCTAGTGGCAACTCCTGTTCTGTCTACTCCTTCCCCGTAGTAAAAGCTATGGAGGTTAAAGCTATTGACGGAGACGGTAGGAGAGAAAGGATGAGAAGCTCCCCACAAAACAGAGCAGAAAACAGAGAACAAAGCCACTGTCCCTAAAATAACCATAACCGCTCTGCATTGTCCAACTGATAATCCTCTGTTCTCTTCATAAACATCATCTTCATGAATCGTGTAATGACCCTCCGTCCAATACAGGTTACTCCTCCGTGAGCTTCCTTTCCAACGGAACCCCACACCGCTAGTTCCGTTGGAGGTGCGGCTTGAAGAGGAGAGACGTGACTCGGTGAGGATAGTGTAGTTTGGGGACTGAATCTGAATCAGTGAAGCAGATGAAGAGGATTTCTCACCATCGTATACATGGGACACACTTGAGGGACTCTCAACGTAGTAAGCTTGTTTAGGCGATGAGACCGACAGGTCCAGACTTGTTCTTTCTGATTCCGACGTCGCGTCCATCATCTTGTTGATCAATTCTTTGTGTGTTTGCGATTAACGTAAAACAATCATTGAAACATTTTGAAGCTTTCTTAGAAGATATATTGAAGAATAGAACACGGCGTAGAGAGAGGGGATATGTAACAAACCTCTTTGAAGCTTTCTTTTTATTATTCTCTTTGTTTGAAAATGTTGGCCCAAAACAAACCGTTTTTAACGGGTTTCATTTTTGTTCTTTAACTCAACCAAATTTCTCGCTTAGTAAATCCAAAACCTTTGAAAACATTAAATTTCCGAAATTTGACAATTCTCAATCGATGGGTAAGTATGAATTAAGTACTAGCCATGATAGTGTGGGTTCTGAATCCATACTTCCTCTCCATTATTGGAAGAAGCAGACCCCAGAGTTATTTGGGTTCTGATCGATAGCGATAAATTATCAAATCATTGAAAATAAGATTCAATTCCCAAATGGTGACAAAGTTTCGGTATCTCTGAAGCATATGAACTTATGTTATGACGCGCGTGAACATATGTTATTATGATGTTATGGTTAAAGTCTAGTAACTAAACTGGTTAGAGTCTAGTTATTTGAATTTTATAATTAGATTAGATTTTAAATAATAATTATCACAATTTTCAGAACAATATTGTGTATAACCGCATATTTCCCCGTGTTGGAGCGCACGAATCATCTATATTGTAAGCTTAATACTGAAAGTTGGATTAAGTGATTGGATTTTCAAATACTGGTATTTATTCAGAAAAAAATATAAGAACAAAATATGGAGGGCTTAGAGGATAAACAAAGAATGTCTAAGCAAATAAAAAAAAAAAGAAGAAAGTTTTTTTTTTGTTTGTTCAAAAGGTTGCATTTCCATAAATATCACCACGAGTTTACGGGTCTGATTGGTAAAGACTATAGTTGTAGCTGTGACTATAAAATTTTGGCTGTAAAGAAAATGACTGTTAAAAATGTGACTATTACTTTTAAATATTAACAAAGCCTAAAACTGTTACTGTTACTTTAAAAATATTATAATTTATATTAAATTGTAAATTATGAAAAATTTGTATTCGGTAATGACATAGAAACAAAAAAATAGCTATTTTATTTAAAATGAATTGATTAAAAATTTAAACTTAAAAACTATAATCTAAAAAAATAAACTGAAAATACAAACATGATAAATAAATTTAAAAGTAAATATTAAACATAAATTATATTTATCTAACTTATGACCTAGATTTGAGAGATCAATTTCTCACTTCTCCTTTAAAAGAAAAACTTAATCTTACTACCACCTTCAAATCCAACTACCATCAAACCTAACTTTTCACAACTCTACCCTTCTTTTATTTATAATATTTTAAAAACCCCAATTAAATTACCTAACAATAAATAATTAAATACCTAATTTAATACCCAACAACCCACGCGCCCCCTCTTTCCTCTTCCCCGTCGCGAGCTGAAAAAAAACAGAGCATCAGATGGAGAAGCACGAAAGCAGCCTCACGTGAAGCAAATCCTGTTCTTCTTTCTCGAAACAGCATGAAACAGCCTTGTGAAACAAATCCACAACATACTCCTCACGCATCTTCTCACTTCCTCACGGTAAAAACAGAGCATCGACATTAGAAGCTGGGTCTCTTCTCCTCACGACATTGAATCTGCATATTTAAGGTTACTCTTTCTATCTAATACAATTTCCATGTTTAGGGTTAAATAGATTTGAAAACCCTTATTTTAAAGGTTTCTTCTAATTTTTGAGAATTCTTTGTAGATTAGAAAATTTGTTGTTTTATATGGTTTGTTTGGTATTGAACTTGTTTTCTAAACCCATCAAGGTGATGCTACGATTTCTGTGGTAAAATACCAGGTGAATCATTCTAAATCTAACAAAATCAAACGTAAACAAAACGATTTTAGGTACTA